GCCTGATCTCTACATTGATGTTCAGACTTTAATTTTTACCAGTGGATGAAATTGTTATTTGATTGTTGCATACACTTTGAAAATGTACTTTTCCTATTTTCTCACAAAGTTTACATTTTCATCCCTCCCTCCCTCCCTCCCTCCCTCCCTCCCTCCCTCCCTCCCTCCCTCCCTCCCTCCCTCCCTCCCTTCCACACACACTATACACAACCTTTTTATACTGCCAAGTTTTTCGATTCTTTTGGCTGGTAGGCATGTTGAGTGGGTCCACTGATGGAAAAACTGGGCACAGGAAGGATTGACAAAGAGAGATAAAGGTAGAACTTAATTACAGATTTTCTCTCTATTTATCAGGATGGGTGTGTGAGCTCCCAGTCGTTGCTTATCAAAGCAAACCCTTTCTTAACTTCATGATAGAATAATCGCTTCCTTCTTAACAAGTCATTTTGAAGGCAGCATCTTGTAATTCTTTGAGACCTCAGAAAGAATTACCGAAAATATTCTGTGACAGATGGTGCAAAGCTGTTAATTCCCAGGCCAGGCTGTCAGCTCCCCAGTAGAGGGGCAGAGTAGAGTCATAGTGAAGGGCTCAGAGCCTGGGGAATGCTTGAGTTTGAATCCTGGCTCTGCCACTACCTAGAACTTGACCTTAGTCAAGTTAATTAACCTCTCTGTTGCAGTGTTCCCATTACAGATAGGGATAATAATGCTTCCTACCTCACACAGCGTTTTTTGCAAGGACTAAGAGAGTCAATATGACTTCAACAAATGAAAAAAGCACATCAAATAGTTCCTGATACACAGTAAGGACTATATATTTATTTTTTATTCTTTAAAAAATATATATTTTATTGATAGAGGAAAGGAGAGAGATAAGAGAGTTAGAAACATCAATGAGAGTCATCAATCAGCTGCCTCTTGCATGCCCCCTACTGGGGATGTGCCCGCAACCAAGGTACATGCCTTTGACCAGAATCGAACCCGGGACCCTTCAGTCTGTGCAGGCTGATGCTCTATCCACTGAGCCAAACCGGTTTCAGCTGTATTTTCTATTTTTAATAACTTATTATTGCACTGTGAAGTGCTATTAATGTTGTAGTCATGAAGGGGCAGGTCTCGGGAAGGAAGGTAAAGAAACAGGCTGTAGAAAGAATAGCCACAAAGAAGTGGACATGCTCATGGATGGTGTCGATCCTGTGGCTCTTATGACCAGATTATGACTTTCTCTCAGCTCCTAGGGAATGCACTTGATTAAGGCACACAGGGCTGTCCCCAGGGCCTGCTGTGAAGTGACTGTAAGTCATTTGTGATGTCTCCCCACCACCTCCTTGCTGATGCTTCCCCATCTCTATCCAACCCTTGGCAGCAGTACCTGGTGAGGTGTGTCTCAGGACTGCTTCTTTGAGGGAGAAAACAGGTGAAGGTTTTATATGTCTTTTCAAAGGGGACAGTGAGATTGGCTTTTCTGCTTCTGGCTCCTTAGTGTGTACATAACATTCTTTGAGTAGGGAGCAATCCGAAGGGACTCATATAGTGTGAATTGAGCTATTATGATCTGATAGGACTGAAAATGGTACCCTGAAACCAATACAAGAACATCCTATATACTAAAAGCCTAATATGCAAATCAACCAAACGGTGGAGCAAGAGATGGAATGACTGGTCACTATGATGTGCACTGACCTCTAGGGGGCAGATGCTCAGTGCAGGAGCTGCCCTCAGCCCACAGGCCCCCAGTCAGCCAGAGTGGATGCCAGTGGGGTCAGGGGGCCCACAGATCGGCCCTGATCACCGGCCAGGCCTAGGGACCCTACCCATGCACAGATTTCTTGCATCGAGCCTCTAGTTGGTTTATAGGCTTCATGAAGCAGGGAGATTTGATTTATTGTGCTTTGTAGGGGATATGTGTTTATTTAAGCAGAACAGCAATCAAGATTTGAAAAATTTCGCCCAGTTGGTGCCACAGCTCAGTGGTTGAACATTGACCTATGAACCAAGAGATCACTGTTTGATTCCTGGTCAGGGCTCATACCCAGGTTTCAGGCTCCATCCCCAGTGTGAGGCATGCAGGAGGCAGCTGATAGATGATTCTCTCTCCTCATTGATGTTTCTTTCTCCCTTTACCTTCCTCTCTGAAATCGATATATATATAATTTTTTGGAAAATTTTTAATGACATTGGAAAATGTTTGGGTTAATACTAACAGAAAGTAACAGTTAAGTCATAATAATAATGCCAATAAATACATAGGAAAAATTACTGAGGGAAATGACACCAAAATGTTAATTGTGGTTAATCTTGGATTGATAAGATTATGTATCTTTTGTGTTTTCCTTTTTATGATTTATAGTTTCTCAATACAGAGTTCTAATTTTCCAAAATGGGAATATGCTATTTTTTGATAGAAAATAAAATAGAGTTGTTATAGACTATAATTAATAGACTATTTATACAGAAACAACCTAATTGGCCTGTGATAGGAGATTGGTAATCGCAAAGTGAAACTATGGTACATCTGTATAATGAAATACTATGCAATTATCAAGGTGGTGATAGTGTGAAATTGAGAGATTTTAATTGTACTTTGTTAAGTGGAAAAAAAGTAGGCTAGGTAACAAAATATGTAGTAAATGTTATACAGCAAATGTAAATATATATAAATACTGGAAGAATGTAAATGAAAATATTATGGAAAATGGGATTATTGATAATTCTTTTATTTTTTTGTTTATATTGTCTATTTTTCTGCAATGAAATATGGATTACCCACCTACACAATAAGTTAATATTTATATAACTTTTAAATATATATTTTTTAATTTAAATTCTTTATTGTCAAATGTATTACATAAGTCTCCTTCCCCCCACCACCACCATTTACCTCTCCTCAGCTGCCCCCACCCCCTTGCACAACCCCCCCAGTCTGTGTCTATTGGTTATGCTCATTTGCATGCATACAAGTCCTTTGGTTGGCCTGCACCCTGTCAGACATCCCTCTCACAATCCAGAACTGCTGGCTCCTAACCGCTCACTTGTCTGCCTGATTGCCCTTAACTGCTTCTACCTGCCAGCCTGATTGTCCCTAACTGTTCCCCTGCTGGCTTGATTGGCCTTAACCACCTCTGCCTTGGCCCTGCATCCGGGACCCAGGATTCCCTCCTCCAGCTGACCACAAGCACCCAGGATTTGGACTTCCCTCCCTCTGGTCAGCCATAGGTGCCCAGCCCGGCTGCAGCCACAGGGGACGGTGGGCAGGTGGCTTCACCTGGGCTGCAGCCACAAGTGCTGGTGCCTGGGACTGCAGGGTGGGCAGCTTCTCCATCTTCTGGGCCACAGCTAGCCGTAGGTACTGGTGCCCGGACTGCAGGGTGGGCGATGCTCCGTCAACCTGCCTGTAACCAGCCGTAGGTGCTGGCACTGGACCTCAGGCAGGCGGCATCTCTGTCCTCCCTGGGATACAGTGTGGGCAACTTCTCCGGCTGGCTGCGGCCTGGGACCATGGGGCAGGTGGATTCTTTGTCTCCCTGGCTGCAGTCAGCCTCAGGCGCTGGCGCCCAACTTCTCCGACTCCCACAGGCCTGGAGTATCTGGAGGACAGGACTGCCGCCATCTTTTCAGGTCAATATGCATACTCACTCTGAGTGGCTGTTGGGTGTAGTGGAGTGATGGTAATTTGCATGTTTCTCTTTTATTAGTGTAAATTGAGGGAGAGCTAGATAAAAACAGTGATGAAAGGGAATCATTGATCAGGTGCTTCCTGCACACCCCACTGGGGATTGAGCCCACAATCCTGGCATGTACCCTGACCAGGAATTGAACCATGACCTCCTGGGATCATAGATCAATGCTCAACCACTGAGCCATGCTGGCTGGGCTTTATATAATTTTTAAAAACTAAACATCCTAAGAGTATTTTTAGGGCAATGAAGTTCTAAAGGACAGTGACAAATTACATGTTTTTAAGCAATGTTGCCATCTGGTGGATTGAAGGCAAAAACTCACCCTCTTCCTTCCTCACTTGAAATTAGAAAAGGAAAGCCAAATATTATCTTGTGTTTCAGACAAATCCCTGGATGATTTTAACAGTTTAACCATGTTCCTTTGATGCACGTGGAGAAGTAGTCCAGTCACTGAATGAGAACCCAATCGTGGGTGCAGCTGTGGAATGTAATTTAAAAAATGAAAAAAAAAAATCCATAGAGACAATTCTGAGTTATCCATTTGATGGTTATTTAGAGCAAAGTTTCCCTCCTAACATAACATTTGTTAACCACTTGGCACTTGGCATGGTGCTCAGCCCATAATAAGTCTACAAATATTTATAGAATGAATGATTACTTCTGGCTGGTTTAATCCAATTGACAGTTGGTATATTTTCATGGACCATAAATTAATTTACATAGAACCAGTTGAAGCAAACATAAAATAATAAAATGCCTCACAAAATCAAATGATGGTAGTTTAGCTGCTATTTCAGATAAACTACCCATCCCCAATTTCTCATCACATCTAAATTTCATCTAGCCCCTCGCTGAATTTACCTTTCCCCATTCACCTTTCTTATTATGTGTAGAAAGTCTAAACATTTTGACAGTTCCTCTGTGGGAAAATTTTTTTAAAGTATATTTGATTGATTTTAGAGAGAGAGAGGAAGAGGGAGGGAGAGAAGAAAGAGGAGGGGGAGGAAGAGGGAGAGGGGGAGAGGGAGACGGAAACATCACTGATGAGAAAGAGTCATTTGATAGGCTGCTTCCTGCATGCCCCCTACTGGGGATCTGAGCCCCAAACCCAGAGTTTGGGCTCAGACTGGCAATTGAACTGTGATTGAACTGTGATCTCCTGGTCTATAGGTCAACATCCAACCACTGAGCCATGCAGGCCGGGCTTGAAAACATTTTTAATGTCTACCCCACCCCATTCTCCCACATTCCCCAGAAAGCCCAGTGCAGGCAGATTGCTGGCCCTGAGAGCTAACCCTGGCTGTCCTTGCCGCCCTGCAGGGGAGCTCATCAACCTGGCCATGTACTGCGAGAGGATCCGGAGGAAGTTCTGGCCCGAATGGCACCACGACGATGACAACACCATCTATGAGTCGGAGGAGAGCAGCGAGGGCAGCAAGACCCACACGCCTCTGCTGGATTTCAGCCTTTACTCAAGGACAGAGACCTTCGAGGACGAGGGCGCAGAGAACAGTTTTTCCAGAACCCCAGACACGGATTTCACCGGACACTCGCTCTTTGATTCCGACGTGGACATGGATGACTACATAGAGCACGAACCTTGCAAGTGACCCAGCTTCACGGGCCGTTCTGCTGGAGCTGCTGCCGCCGCCTGGGTCGGGCTGGGTGCCCAGGGAGAGATCCACCGGGGCCGGGAGGAGGTCTCCGTGCCTGGCACCCTTCTCACAAGCAACTGGCCGAGGGCAGCCTAGTTCTCTTTTGTACACACAGAACACAGAGCCGCTCAGATGGCTCCCTCGCAAACTAACAGGCAAACAAAATGTCAGCATGGCTCCTGAAATCCATTTTTGTTTTCATTAGAAAACTAATATTGTGAGGTGGACTGGGTGCAAGGGCAGGTTCCCCCCCGATAGTGTAGGTCGATCCTCTCCAACCTGAGGGCTTCGTTGTGAGATGAATTCTTGAACATCCTCCATCCACCAGGGCTTGAAGGAATGAGCGATGTCGTCAGAAGAAAGCTGTAGGAGATGAGTGTTCTGTGACAGTATTCTATGTGTGTATATTGTATGTTGAGGTAGAAGTCAAATAAAATCCATAGATATTCAGCGAACACCTACTATGTGCGAAGCACTGTGCCAGGTGCTAATCAGTATACGTTGTATCCGAAGCCCTGCCAGTGACCAGCTGTGTGATTTGGGGCAAATCTCTTATTCTTGTGTGCCTCATTCCCCCCACCTGTAAAGTGGGGATAACAATACTCTCCACCTACCTACCTCACGGGGGTGTTGTGAGGATTCGTGGGGTTCCATGTGGCTCTCTAAACCTCTTGGAAGAGGTGTGACATAAACACAACATTTTATTCTTTATTGTGCTCTTCATACATTTGAAGATTTGAGGGCAAAGGAATTCCACACCCAGGCAGTAGCCACTGCAGTCCCTCCAAAAAGCCGATCCGATGACACACACCAAGACACAGCCAGGCCCCTGTCATCATGCCTCTTGGTGACAGTTGCTTGAATTGAAATCTTTTGTTGAAGGAAAAACTTGGACACATTTTTACAAATCACCCACAGCTACAGGTGGTCTTTAATTCTGTCTGTTTGCAGAAACATCTTCCTTCCATTGCCTGAACGCACCCTGGGATGTGCCCTTGGCTGATTCCTGAATATTAGGAGTTTGATTTATTTGGCGAGGGTAAAGTTCAGGAATATGATGGGCCTAATGGAGGGGAAGGGGAACGTATTTGATTGATTTTTGTAAGCGGAAGCTAGCCAACTTGTGATGTCTGTTTGAAAACAAATCTCGCAAGTGGTATTGAAAAGGAGAAGGAGAAAGAGGATCATGTTACAAGCGTCAAAGCACTTTGTGCAGTGTAGACTCTATGCAGTTTTGTTAATGCACCCTTTCTGGTGTTCTCGGTTGTTGCCCAGTGAGAGGAACGCAGTGCTGAGGACAAATTTTAATGTTTCTTAGGAATCTTCCATTCATTCCCTCCCCTACTCCCGCCCTCCCCAGAATGCCCATGAATTCTGTACTTATGGAGGCCCTCTATCTTGGAAGATACAGTCTATGTTGACTTAAGACATTTCCAGTAATATCTGGGGTGAAGATCCTGGGGCGGCAGCCACGGATTTGGGCGAATAGAGTCAGTGTTAAGATTTGCAGCTGGAAACTAAACTGCTTGGCTTCTGATCACAACCAACTGGTGAGGTAAGGACTATTCATTATGGGGTGGAAGAGGTGCTTCTTGAAAGACAGCAATTTCATCTGAGAAGTTCATGTACTTTACTTCAAAAAGACTCTCTGAATATAGCTTTTGCAAAAACAATCTTCAAATACCGAGGATGCACAGAGAGGTAAAGAGGGCAAGGTTTTGAAGCTGCTTACCATTTAAGCAACTATGTAGGGCAAGCATGTCAGTCTCAGCCCTCAGGCCTCATTTATTTGGCCCGTGTTGGCCTTTGAGTTTGACATGCTTGGTTTAGGGGATATGGAACAAGGAAGAAATGTTGAAATACCTGTTAGAAATTCTTGTTCTACAGATAACTTTGTTGTTCACATCTTATCAAAACGATTCATTTTTGAGAGGACTGTTTGATGCCTAATGAGAATGTGGTAAAGATAAGAATGGATAAGCCTATGTTGTTTTTTGTTGTTGTTGTTGTTTGTTTGTTTGTTTTTTGGTCTCCAGTATCATTTGGGAGGACTGTTTGCCTCTCTTTTCTCTAGCAAGTATGTCTTCAAGCCAGCTGGAGGCAGTTCTGTGTGACAAGGGAAGCTACTGGAAATGTGAATGTGATGAACAGGTGGACTGTGGGCCTGGCTCCACCAAGACTGTCGCCCTTTCTCCATCCTCAGCTGGAAAGACTTGTGTTTGAAATTTTGTTTACAATTTATCCTTTCTGTATAGCACTGTTAGATGTACCTTCACTCCAAGAATGATTAAGTTACGAGTCTGTAGATGCACATATGTTCTTTATTGTGTTGTACTTGGAGGGCAAGTACATGGAGAGCCAACATTCAGAGTGAAGTTATGTCACAGTTGAGTCTATCCAGGTAACTCCCATAGGAGCTTGAATGGACATTGTACTGGGAGGCTTGGCTGCTGTCCTGACAGCTCATGACTAGGGCATCAACAATTTGTGGGTGTAATTTGATTTGGAATCCTAGAAGGTCTCCCTCCAACCCCCTCTCCCCCATTACCCTCAGTGTATGTTATGGCAACGAAATAACCAAGACAAAATCACTGTGGTGGGAGGGCTTTAATTTTATGTGGTTCATTCTTAAACTATCCAGATTTGAAGTGTTTCCAATTTGATGAACAGGTGCTATTTATTACAAAAATTAACATAAAAAATTAGGGGACATTTTGGTCATCTGGCTCACTTGTTCAATTTCTGTGTTTCCTTTTACTGGATGGTAACTTAAGGAAGTGGCTCTTTTATGCTAACATGGTGTTGGTTGGACAGAAGACCCAGAGGCCACCAGTCCTGTGTCACCTCTCATTGTGAACATAAATTCTGTCTATCCACATCTCTTCACCCTCCCTGTTCAGACTCATCAGGATTAATGAGCAGCAGTAGTATGTTTTGTACGAATCAGAGTAGATACAAGGACAATATAAATTTATTGCAGAATTGAACTATATTGTTAGAGTTAAACATTTTGTTGTAACATAATGAATTGTGAATGGTGATATTACCAAGGCCACGGGCTACCCAGAAGACTGATCAAAGACTTAGAGCAACTGGGTCGTGAATCACAGCAGCTGTCTAGTCCTCAGTGAACCCCTCCTATGGGTACCGGGGTAATAGGATGTGCTAGAGTTCAAGAAAGGAAGTGTTGAGGATTAGCCTCATTGTCTTGCTTGGATTATTTGAGAGTGAGTGTTGGATCACAGAAATGTATAGCTAGGCATAGATTATCTCTAAAAAGCCCCTTCCAAGAGAGCCCTGAGGGCATTATTGGCTCAGTGTCACAAATACTTACTTGCAGGGCAGGACCAGAAACAGGTCTTTCACCTTGCCTTTGATGGTTCTTGGCATTAACCATTTTGACTTGATTTCCTTTTAAATACATACTCTCTGAGAGGTCACTCCTAGATGTCCCTAGAACTAGCTCATCCCAGCCTCTTGGAGAAGGCCGGGACTCCTCCCTGACCCTTGTTCCCCAGGTCTGTCTGTTCAATCTGGTCCAGGCCAATTCAGTGGAGACCTTTCTTCAGTATCCACTCTGTGCAAGGCACCGCTAGGCTCTGAATGATACCAAGATGGAACCAGTACTCCTCATTCTTTGTTATGCATCTTTTAAAGCATACACACCCATATGCTCACTATCCACTGAACACCTGCCCTGTCCTGACCCTGAGATGCACACTGGATTTAGAGTAGTGAACAGAACGGTCATGGCACCTTCGTGTCAGGGCATTCTCTTCTGGCTAGACCTCTGCAGTAGCCTCTTGCACATGCTGGGCCACTTCCCTGCTCCAGTCCCCCTATCCCCACCAGGTCAATCTTTGTGCTCTGGCCCTTGTGGGGTGCCATACTGCTTCGGGATGAGGGTCACTCCTTAGGGCTTGGTCTGCTCACCTTTTTTTGTTGTTGTTAATCCTCACCAGAGGATATTTTTCCATTGATCTTTTAGAGAGAGTGGATGAGAGAGGGAAAGGGGGAGAAACATTGATGTAAGAGAAACACATCGATTGGCTGCCTCCTGCACACACCCTGCCTAAGGCTAGGGGTGGGGAGGAGCCTGCAACCAAGGTATGTGCCCTTGACCGGAATCAAACCCGGGACCCTTTGGTCTGCAGGCTGACTGAACCAAGTGGAACCAATCCACTGAACCAAACTGGCTTGGTCTTTATTCACTTTGTCTCCTGGGGCTCCTTCCTATAAGCCATGAAATGCCTGCCCTTCCTCTCCACTGGCCCAACCCATACCCACTTGTCAAGGCCCAGCTTTTTTGGCTCTGCAAGAAGGCATCTCAGCTCACAATCTAGAAACAGGACATTCATCATTTCCTCCCCGGAAGGCTGCAGGGGGAAGGTACGCTCAGAAAGGGGCCCCGGCTAGGAGGTAGTACTTTCAAGTGTATGTTTGTGTCAGGGACTCCATCGCTAACCTAATTAAAGTCCTATACTCTTTTCCCCAAAAAATATACATGTGTAAATATATGTAATTTATGTAATAAGTTTAGGAGATTCAGAAACATTTTTATTTATTTATTTATTTATTTATTTATTTACTTATTTTTAAATATATGTTTTATTGATTTTTTTTTTTTTTTACAGAGAGGAAGGGAGAGGGATAGAGAACCAGAAACATCAGTGAGAGAGAAACATCAATCAGCTGCCTCCTGCACACACCCCACTGGGGATGTGCCCACAACCAAGATACATACCCTTGACCGGAATCAAACCCTGGATCCTTCCAGGCTGACACTATCCACTGAGACAAAACAGTCAGAGCCAGAAACCTTTTAAAATTATCTGTGGATTTCTTAAGGGGTTCAAGGACCCCAGCTGAAGAAGCTGTCTTCTAAAGAGTTTTTAAAACTTGTTAGTGTTCGTTCTTTCTTCCCTTAAACACATCCCGAGAGGAGAAAAATAGGA